AAAAGAGCGAGTTGTAGAGATCCAACAAATATCACCCATTCAACCGCATCTATCTAACGTTGTACGCCACTTCACTGTTTTGCAATATATTTAGCACTAAACATGTTTAACACCCTTTCATAATTAATATCATTGTCATCATTAACCGAGTAATTATATCCTACGTAATATTAACATGCAATGCAAGTATATATTTAGTAGTATCATTCAGTGTCAAACTATTTCTTAAATAATAAGGCGAACGGGTAACAAAGAAAAACATAAAGGAAAACTAGAGTAGAAGATAGGTCTAAATAAAAAAAATGCAAAGACAAAAAGAGGGGTCATAAGATTGTAAGAGGTGAATTGTTTTGTTACATTTCCTCCCTACGTACAACCAAGAGGCGGCCGTTGTTACCAACCATGGCCCACTCATAGGTCCTTGATGGTTGCCAAACTTCGTCCGTATGTATGTCTTCTGACAAAAGATTAACAATGAGCTCTTACCTGTCAAGAGTATGCTGATGATTTAATGTTTTTAGATCATCAGCGGTCACGGTTTGGTGGTTTTCACTTTATTATAACAAGTCGATATCTTCATTTGCTCATCCCAGCCTATCCAATGTCAGAGGCAGGATTTGAAATCCTTATGTTGAGATGGGTGGGAGGCTACGAAAGGAGAGATTTTTACTATTCACATGAACTTAATACCAAATACATACCGTTGGGGTGGGGTCAAGGCCCTGGCCGGTCCCCATGCCACCGCCACGGAACCTATCGGTGCTTCTTGCATAACATTTATAATGGTCAAGCTAATTCGACTAAGGTATAAAATCTAGGGCTAATTTACGACTGTTATCATGCACCATGAATCCATATATGTATTTTGTTGTTGTAAATTTACTCAAGAACCCTCCCTAACTTTAGAACGGTTTTGATTATGAAATAATACTCATAGTGGAACTAACTTTCGACCAAACTCAAACATTGTGTAAACTTGATACTAGAGGGAGCCTTTTGTTTTTGCAGGGAAAATGCGATGGAGCATAATTTGGATTAGCTTAGCAATCCAAGTAATATAAGTTTGTTTTCTTTCATATCTCTCCCAAGCGCTTAGCTAGTCAGCTTGGTGGTTGTGTTGCGGTCTGATGATCATTGATGGCAAGAAGACACCGTCTATTCCTAGGTTTCAAACTCGGGTACGTAGGTAAGCACCTACAAGCTTAACCGTCGATTGTCGTAGGAGTAGAAACTTCACATACCTAAAGGAATAATTGTACTATTCTCTTGTTCGAGTTTTGCCAAAATCTCTCACTACAAGGCTTTGACGAGGAAATTTGTGCAATATGCTTAGTATACAAGTATCACTTCTTCATTTTCTTCCACGGAAGGGTTTTATGTGTTTTATCATATTTAGATATACTATGAGTAACAATTTAAGGAGAGTTAGAAACCCGCCCTAACCGGGGCCTTCCTCCTTTATCAAGCAATTGTTTGTGGACTCTTACTTGAATACATTGGGTTGTTCTATTGTTCTAGTATACAACAAGGAGCAAGAGTCCTAGATTGTACACATCTTATCTCCTTGTAAGATTTGAATAATAATGAGAATAACGACATCCTACATTTCAACGGTTTCTTGTAGGGATTCTCGAATGAGCTTCTCGGTGAGGTTTCTTGGAAGTCCTCGAACGCTATCCACCGTACCAACCTGCGCAACAAATGCAGAAACCAAAACAGTGATGGAGGGTCAGAACAGTGAAGTGGATATGCAGTCCTGATCTCCACGTTTTTTAAGTATGGGCTATTTGGAAGAATTTGCTCACTAGTTCCTTGATGAACGGCAAAGATGATGGATGCATCAACCTGAGGCCCCCAGCCACGCAAGTCATGCCTCCTTCCTTCACCTGGAACGTAGCAGGATGTAGTCTTAATTACCGAGTGAAATGTGTCATTAGTCCATTAACTCAAAGAAGTTGCATATTTTAGGAAAAAACTCAGAAAGTGATCAAATTTAGGCTATGAACTCGTCTATTTGATCAATTAAGGCCAAACTGATCTGAGAGAAAAAAATTGTCCACATTACTCCCACGTCGGCGTAAATTGAACCGCTCGTCCTTGGCTTAACTTTTAGGACCCTTTTAACCAGCGAACGCCATCTGGGAAGCATGGTAATTGTGAATGATTTGCATGACAATTTATGTTGGCCGAGGATGGTAGGTTTATTTGGCAAGCATGACAAATCCGCTTCAGTTCATTTTTGCCAGGATTTGCCGTGCTTGCAAACTAAGTTGTCATCGTTGCGGCAATATAAATTGCCATAAAAACACTCGATTTTCCATCCCCTCCCAGCGAACGTCAACTGAATAGCATTACCGAATTTTTATAGTGTTATTTTTTTACAAAATCGGCCAATGCCCAATGGTTGATGTTATTTGCGTTTAAATTTTTTTTGAAGGATGCAGTGTGTTGGGCAGGGATTGAAAACTTACGACTTTTTCGATGAACTCGTCTGGTATGTGGTGAAAACAGATCTGCAGATGGACCAAAAGTCCAAAATCATGGTGAGTTTCAGTCTCTTCTCATAGGAAAGTAGTATTAGCAAGTTCAGTTGGAAATGCAGTTACCTCAGGTATATCCCACCCCCCTTTCCTACCCCCGGTGCTCAGGTTGGTCACCAGAACATAGTTCATTGCAAATGCTACATCACCCGAGTACCCTGTCACCACAGCAGGCACGAAACATTTGGTTACAGCCATATGCATACTGTATCTTGTGTGAGTCCACAAGAAGAAGACGATAGTCAAAAGGCTCGTTACCCTTGATGAATTCCCTGGCTTCCTCCGTGCTCGTCGGCCTCTCCCGTATCATCCCTTTGCTCACCTTAACCTTCATTAACGGTGTCATGTCAGACTCCCAACGAAACAGATTAACCGATGTCCATGTATACCTGGTCAGAAGTGATCAGAAGGGTAGGTCGATCTCTGCTGCCTCGATCAGCACAGCCGTCAGCAAGGTTCAGTTGAATGGCGTCCGCCTACACACATATGGCGCGATCAAGATTCAAGAAGCACCCCAAGATTGTATCACAAACTTCATAGGAAGCACGGCATCAAGTCAGTCGTTCTGAGCTTAGCAGCTACTCGTTGGTACCTTGGCTTCGGCCAAGGCCTTGACCAGCTCCTCCGGCGTCTCCCTCCTGACGGCCTTCTCGTCGATGTCAGCGCTCTGGCAGCACATACACCAAATATCCACTTCATCAGCAAGTATGTACAGGCTAAAAAAGTCTACTGTCTCAGCAGAATACGGGAACTTGGTGAGCTGAGGGCACCCCCACCATGACCGTGAACTCGTATCCCATGTCTGACAGGATCGCGCGGCGCGCCGGCGACGAGGACCCAAGTATGATCTTCAAGGAATCGCATGAAGCGAGAGGCTTAGAGCAGATCGAGGTTGAAGGATGCTCGTTGCAAATGGTGAGAGGCCGTATAGGTTGACAAGAGATGTGTGTACCTTGAACGATGGGGAGTCGTTGCAGGTGGAAGCCATGCCTAAATTCTTCTCCTGCGGAGCTCGGGTGAGGGATCTGAACCGTGAAGAGGCTCACAGACTGTTAAATGGCTCCGCTACTTCCTTGGATTCCAAGTATCCGAAGCCTTGAGTTTGTCAGAGTTCGAATTTGACGGTAATAGTTTAGGACGCAGTGGGGATTAAGAGTAGACCATCGCTAAAGCTGGTTGGTCAGTTCTTTGACGGTTGACCGGTGTGCGTACATGGCAAATTAAATATACTAGCAAACATGCCCGTGCGTTGCAACGGAAGAAAAAACAATCACACGTGGATAGCCAAATATAAGTATGTCTCAACACCCCTCACAGGTCGATGTCCTTTATTGTAACACATTGCCCCACCTATGTTGCCGCTTATCCTTCTTTCGACCCTTATCGATGGTGGCCATGGTTTTGACACAATGCATCCAACATGAAATCCCAAGACAATGATCATGGCCACATGTGATATACTCCCAGAGTTTTGTCCACAACTGCTTCAATTTGAATGCCAGAAATTATCATGTATTTACACTCTAAAAAGTCATGTAGGCTCCAAAGTTTTGCCCACAAAAAAGGAAAGATTGATATAGTTAGATTGCTTTTCCTTTTATTGTGCAGAGAAGAAACTTCTGTCACACACAGCCATAAAGAGACAAACTATGAACACACAAAACAGGATAATGTGCGAGATGCGGAAACGTCTTACCCTCGTTGAAGGAGACGACTACGTGTTATATGCAGGGGCGCAATAACCCTGATGCACATACAAAAGAGGTTGAGATATTACAGGAGATTACAATCTTGGAGAGAAAGAGATAAAGGTGGTTACAATAAATAGATATAAGAGCTAACTACCAAGTCTATCTCTAAGCCGGTCATATATCTCCTTAGACAGCCGTGACAGGTTGTAATGACCTGTTTAACACCCTCCCTTAATCACAACTTCATCAAGTTGAGATTATGTTTGAAGTCCTCAAAACTTCTTGTAGGCAGAGGTTTTGTGAATCCATCTGCAATTTGATCTCTGGAATGCACAAACCTAATGTCAAGTTGCTTCTTGGCAACTCTTTCTCGTACAAAGTGAAAATCTATCTCAATATGCTTGGTTCTGGCATGAAAGACAGGGTTAGCAGATAGGTAAGTGGCACCAAGGTTATCACACCACAAACATGGAGCTGGGGTACTTCTGACACCAAGTTCCTTCAACATGGATTGTACCCATATAATCTCAGTTGTAGCATTAGCTAATGCTTTGTACTCTGCTTCTGTACTGGACCTGGAAACAGTAGCTTGTTTCCTTGCACACCATGAAATCAAGGTAGAACCAAAGAATACTGCAAAGCCACCGGTTGAGCGTCTATCATCTAGACATCCTGCCCAATCAGAATCTGAGAAAGCACTAATAAGTGTTGATGATGACTTGCTAAAATTGAGACCAAGGTGAAGGTATACAACCTTGCAAGCCAACTTTCTTAACCAGATCTGTTGCATACTTTTCCTGAGAGAGATGAAGTCCATCATCATGTTTCTTCACCTCAATTCCTCAAAAGTAATGCAAGTTTCCAAGATCCTTGAGTGCAAATTCTGACCCAAGATCCTTCAAAAGTCCTGTTATGGCCTCATCTGAAGAGCTTGTGACAATAATGTCATCAACATATATGAGAACAAATATATGTGTGTTGTACTTGTTGTAAATGAACAATGAGGTGTCAGACTTAGAAGGAATAAAGCCAAGAGTTTGCATTTTGTGACTGAGACGAGAGTACCACGCCCTTGGAGCCTGCTTCAGTCCATATAGCGACTTGTCAAGTTTGCACACATGAGAAGGTGCATTCTTGTTTAGAAACCCAGGAGGTTGCTTCATGTACACTTCCTATTCCAGAACACCATGGAGAAACACGTTCTGTACATCTAGCTGTCTGAGACTCCAGCCCCTGAAAACAGCAATAGACAAAACCAGGCGAATAGTGGCAGCCTTTACAACAGGACTAAAGGTGTCCTCATAGTCTATACCATAACGCTGTTTAAAGCCTTTTGCAACGAGTCTTGCCTTATAGCGATCAATAGTTTCATCAAATTTTCTTTTAATTCTGAATACCCACTTGCAGTCAATGAGGTTTTTACCTTGCCGTGGAGGAACCAAATGCCAAGTCTTATTTTTCTGTAATGCCATGTACTCTTCATCCATGGCCTTTTTCCATTTTTCATCACCAAGTGCCTCTTCAAGCGTGTGTGGTTCACTAGGTTCACCTGTGGAACAAACCAGCCCATATTTGGTTACATGCTTATAATTAACAGGTTGGATTACCCCTTTTTGTAGTCGTGTGCGGTGTTGCGACAATGTTGTTGAAGCTTGTGCCACAGAAGATCCCGGGACATGCACCGAATCTGCTGTTGCAGCTGATCCCGAGGTGGTTTCTGACACAGCGCCAACCGAATCCGCCGGATCCACCGGATCCACCTGAGCTTGATCTTCTGTGGCAGTCGAAGGAGTTCTGCATGGCGCAATGGCCACAGAAGATCCGACCCTGCATGCCTCATCATTGTCACATGATGGCGCATCAACACGGGGTTCCGCGCCTGTCCCCGTGCCTGTCCCCGCGCCTGTCGAGCGGGCCGCTTCGCGCCGCTTGTAGCAAATTGGTTGGACCGGGAACCGCGTCTCAGTAGAGCCACCCGCGGACCGCCAGGTGTCGGTGCCGGAGCCGCTCCCGCCCGAGCGCCCGACCGCACCTGACGAGGAAGCCGTCGCGGATTCGGAGGCGGATCACCCTGGCCCGCCTGGCGCACCTGCAGGCGGTGACCCCGAAGACGATGCACCTAGCACGTCTGACGGTGCGGATCCTAGGGAGGATTTGTTCCCTACGCCTGGACACATGCGATATGGCTGTGTTGAGGCGATTTCTTCATCATTTTGGCCTCGATTTTTTCTGCATGTTCTCCTGCGTCATCACAAGGCTCATACATGGGATTAGTCAATAGTTGATCATCACAGTTATTACCCCCTTGATCAATGCCGGTGAGATGAGGAGACAAGAGAAGGATTTCTTTGCGAAGAAGGGCTCCGACATTTGGGTCTAGATCAGAAAAAGGGAACTTTATTTCGTGAAAGACCACATCACCGGATATATAAACACGACCAGTGGCAACGACAAGGCATTTAACACCTTTGTGTTGGGCACTGTACCCAAGAAATACACATTGTTTTGACCTAAACATAAGCTTCCTATTGTTATAGGGACAGAGATTCGTCTAGCAAGCACAGCCAAAGACGCGAAGGGATTTCTAGTCTGGCTTAGTGTTGAGAAGCCGTTTCATGGGAGTTTCGTTGTGTATGACACGACTAGGAAGCGTGTTAATAATATGCACGACGGTCAAAAAGGCTTCGTCCCAAAACTTAAGGGGCATAGAAGCACCGGCTAGAAGAGCAAGATCAACTTCAACAATATGGCGGTGCTTGCGCTCAGCCGATTCGTTTTGTTGGTGAGCATGTGGACACGACACGTGGTGTGAAATACCAAGAATTTGGAAGAAGGAATTCAACTTTTCATATTCCCCTCCCCGGTCCGATTGGACAACAACGATCTTACGATCAAACTTGCGTTCTACTAACGCTTGGAAATTCAGAAACACTTGGAAAACATCGGATATTTTCTTAAGAAGATAAATCCAAGAGAATTTACCGTAGTCATCAATGAAACTGACATAATACGTGTGTCTACCAACAGAACTAGGGGCAGGGCCCCAAACATCTGAGAAGATTAATTGCAAAGGTTGAGTAGAAACACTAGTAGAGATGGGGTATGTCAATTGATGACATTTTGCTCTTTGGCAAGAATCACAAATAGTTTCAGTATTACGCTCTCCAACAAACGAGAGCTTATTCTTTCTAAGCAAACATTCAACCAAAGAAAAAGAAGCATGTCCTAAGTGATCATGCCATCGTGTGGAAGATAATTTGATGGCAATGTGGACTTGTTTATTGAATCTTGTAAACTCCGGAAGCAACGGGTAAAGCCCTCGAACACATCTACCTCGATAGAGTACTTTCTTCGTGACCTAATCCTTGATAAAAAAGAAGAAAGGGTGAAACTCAAGGAAGACATGGTTATCAATGGCAATTCTATGAACAGAAAGGAGATTCTTATGAGCACTAGGGACATGCATGATTTTCCTAAGGTGTATTTTGCGATGAGGGGTATGTATAACTGAATGGCCAACATGACTGATCCTCATACCTGCATCGTCGGCGGTGTGAATTTGATCCTTGCCGTGGTACTTTTCACGGAGAGTCACTTTTTCCAGCTCACCAGTGAGATGGTTGGTGGCGCCGCTGTCGAGGTACCAGTTGGTGTCGACACCGTAGGAGCCATCAGCCGCTGCCGCGACCTTTTCATCATCTTGGGAGTCTTCCCCGTCCTCGTCATAGCGGTACCAGCAATCCCTGGCAGTGTGACCAGGTTTGCCGCAGATCTGGCACCGCGGAGCATCGGGACGGGTCCTGCCAGAGCCGCCGTGGCGGCGTCCTTTGTTGCCAGATCGGCTGCCTCCGCCGCCACTAGCGGGGCATGCACCGCCTGACCTCCCCTTGCCACGAGAAGGAGCACGATAGCGAGAGCCACCACCACGCCCACGGGTGGCAACGTTTGCTGAAGATTTGAAGCCGCCACCGCCCGATCCGTGGAACTGCGCCATGCGCTGGTCAAAGTTGCCGAGCATGGAGAAGATTTCGTCGAGGGAGGCGGGTGTGACGCGCGCGTCGAGGGCCGAGACGAGGGGCTGGTACTCCATATCCAGCCCATGCAAGATATACGAGATGAGCTCGTCATCCTGGATCGGTTTGCCGCCGGCGGCAAGCCCGTCCGTGAGGCCGCGCATGGAGGCGAAGTAGGCGGCGGCGTTCTGGTTGCCTTTCTACGCGTTGATGAGGAAGGTGCGGATGTTGTTGACGCGGCTCAGCGACTGCGACGAGTACATGCCCGCCAGCGTCGTCCAGAG